TTTCTCCAAAAATGGAATAAGGTACAGGTAGTCGTTGACTTATGACCACAACTGAGCCCAAGACAGTTGTTGAGTTTTTCCCAACAACTTGGGATCTTTCTTGCCACTGCTGTTAAGGAAATCACTGCCGTTGTTAAGTCAGTAACACGGTTGTTAAGTGAATCTGGCTTCCCCGTTGATTTTGTTTGGCAGAGTGTCACAAAAGATCCCAGGACAGTGAAACCATCATAAACGCATGCTAGTTGCCAAGCATCATAAACCATCATAAACGCATGCTAGTTGCCAAGCATCTCAGTTTTGATCATGTGAACGTGGGGAGGCTGCAATGGTCATAAGATGAAAAATGGCCATAAGTCACTCTTTTCAGCACCATTCTAACTTTGGTCACTAAACAAAGGGTTATAAGTCAAGGACTATCTGTACTGCAAAGTGCAATCCTCTGCCTTGAACTACTCAAGATATTTATGGATGACTTGGTAGGACGGTGGAGATAATATACTTACCTAGTATTCAGATGGTATAAAGCTACATGGAATAGCTACCCAAGAAGACAGAAATAAAATTTAAAATTACCCTCATAGGTTAGAGCAGGGGTCTTCAAACTTGGCCCTTTTATGACTTGTGGATTTCAACTCCCAGAATAAAAGGGCTAAGTTTGAAGACTGCTGGGTTAGAGAGATGGGCTGAAAGGAAAGACTAATTGAGAGCACTTTATATAGGAAAAGGAAACCCATAATTTCCTTTTAATATGATGTCACATGTTGTGACATGATATGATTCAATAGGAATAATTTTCTTGGTAACAATATTTGGAAAAAACGTCCTGGAATAATAGTTGACCACAAGCTAAATAATGTGTTAGACCAGACCTTGAGTAACTGCTTTGTCTTGATATCACGCTAAGAATTGAATAGAATTCTCTGAATGTGGGAATGAAAATGGATGTTTCCAAAATATTGCAGAACAAGAACAAATGGACATTTTTGTTACATCAAATGAGCATCAAACGTCTCATTAATACTCCATCTGAAAGAAGATCAAAGACAGCAAGGAACCCTTGCCTTAAAGCCTTCAATGATATGATTGTTGGTTTGTTTCTTTTATTAAATTTACATAAATGAGAACCAAAGTACAAATGGGCTCTTTCCAAGATTCTGCAGTGTAATCCCTTACTTATTACAGCGTGAATCTGCAAGAATCTTGCTTTCCAGGTAGGAAATCTCTGTGGGGGGACTTGACAGAACGATTCGGTCAGACTAGACCTGATTCAACAAAGGAAGGGAAAGGTGAGACGCAAAAGTAGAGGTGGATTATATGAACCAACAGTGACAACAATCACATAGTCATACCTGTATCTGTCACTATCATACATCCGACATGCCCCTATTCCACCACAAGTCTTTGTTCCCCATTTCAAACATGTGCTGTCAATCAAAGCTCCAAAATAAATAGGTGATGGGATTCCAGCTATATGGGATATGACATAAAGACAAGACAAGTCATTTTCAGTTACCAAAGTATTTTGCTGTTTGTGATATAAAACTGCTTTCTTGTACACTATTCTCCTTTTAGATGGGAGCTACTAGCATCATGAACCAGTTAAGTGTAGGGCTTAAGGCAATGGGCTAAAAACCAGGAGTCTGTGAGTTGTAGTTTTGCCTAAGGCACAAAGCCAGCTGGGTGACCTCAGGCCAGAAACTGACTTATTCCTTTCTGTCAAAAACTGATGTGCAAACGCTCCAAATCAAGAGATTACAAATTCAGAGCAGATATGTCAAGTGTTATGAGCTTAAATAAAACATTCAATGCCCTGAATCCGAACTTGGAAGAAAGAAGGTGCATTGTCTTAAATTTTCTGAGAATAATAAGAACTTAAAGGAAATCCTTGCTCTTTCGTTTCTGTTCAGGGACAGAAAAGTAGATGAGGTGGTAATCTGTGCTGAGTGCTATCTATCATCCAATCTAAAAAAAAAGAAATAAAAGAGAATGCTTTTCTACTATCATTTCAGAATGAAGCAAGCCCTACTGGATGAAAAGATAATAACATGGAAACATGGGTCCCAAATGACAGTAGCATAAAATGAATGCTATTGAATACAGGACTAGCAGTACTTCGAATGTTTCAGGGCATGTGGGATGCTATAGCACAGTGGTGGCAAACCTATGGCACGTGTGCCAGAGGCGGCACTCAGAGCCCTCTCTGTGGGCACGCGTGCCATGCCCCGGAGATGGCAACCATCCCTCTTCAACCAGCTGCCTGCTAACTCGTCGAGGTCCCACGTGGTCGGATGCATCCCAGCATGGCTGGTTTCCTTCCCCACTGTCCCATCCCTCCTGGCCTCGCATGCTCTCATTTTCCCGGGCACGACTCACTGCATCACCTCCTCAGCTGTCGGCCGGCCTTCCAGCTCAGATGCGGCTTCTCTGAATTGCTGGTGGCAGGCTGTAGAGCCCCCAGAGTGTGCCGGTTGAGGGGCCGGCAGGCTATGGCTGCTGACAGACACTGTCGGCCCCATGTGCTCGCTGGCCTCTGTGTGCGGGGGCCGATGGTGTCAGGCAGCAGCCGCCCCGGCCCCTGCCTCGCCTTGCCCTGTGACAATGGCACCCCCGCCCTGCCTCGCCTCACTCTGCAAAATGAGCCTCCTGCCCACCGCCCCACCTGCCAGAGACCTCCTGGATCTCCCCCAACCCAGCCCGGCCCCCACAGGCAACCCTCCCCATAAGCAACATCAAGGTGACCACGCCCACCTTGGCCACACCCACCCAGTCTGCCATGACCACCACAGCCACACCCACCCAGTGGGCCACACCCACCTGGCACCCGGCGATAAATAAGTGGGTTTTGGGTTGCAGTTTGGGCACTCGGTCTCTAAAAGGTTCGCCATCACTGCAATAACACCTGTTTGCAATTCTCTAAAACAGCAGATCTTTTTCAAGGATCACATAACATAATCCCAGGCAGGTATGTGTTTACCCATAATACTATCTAAATGCTTTCATGTGCTCCAAAAAAAACCTTCTTTCCTTTAAATCCAAAGTTCTATCTAGTCCTTTTGGGTAACATAATTCAATGCTCACATTTCTGGAAGACCAGAAGCTTTGTCCATCTTACCTTTTGTAACGGACACCTTAGGTTTAGCTAAACTGTGAGACGTGATTTGGCTTTGTTTGGTTAAAGATGCTGAGCCTGTCAGCTGGAGAAGTGACACCCTGGGTTTGAGACCCGAGCTCTGGGCAACGGGTGAGCTCCCATTACTTGCTCCAGCTCCTGCCCGCTTAGCAATTCGAAAGCATGCAAATGCGAGTAGATTAATAGGTTCCACTTTGGCGAGAAGGTAATGCATCTTTGGCACATAGCCATGTTGGCCCCATGACCATGGAAATAGTCTTCAGACAACGCCGTCTCACTCAGCCAAGAAATGGAGATGAGCATTGTGCCTTAGAATTGGACATGACTGAAAAGGAAAACTTTACCTTTTTATAATAAGTACAGAGTACAGAAACCAAGAGTTGGAAGGGACCTTAGAGGTCTTCTGGTCCAACTCCCTGTTTGAGCAGGAGACCTGATACCATTCCTTTCCCTCCTCATTCTCCCAGTCTGCTGTTTCACTAACCCTGTTGAAGCATGATCTCAAAAGACATTTTCACGGGACTGCTTCACAACTTAATCCCAAGGGATACGATTTCCTCTTACCTATTCTCTCTGTAGTGCGCAGCTTAAACTAACAACCCCCTCTTACCAAAAAGTCTTGCTGCCAGGGAGTGGAGACCAACACCAAATGACTTCTCCTCAGGCTTTAGGGATCTGGAGAACAAGATCAGTTTTGAGAAATGAATCAGAATAGCAATATCACTTAAATCAGGGGTGTCAAACTCAATTTCATTGAGGGCCGCATCAGCATTGCGGTTGCCCTGGGGGGGGAGGTGGGTGTGGCCAGGGTGGGTGTGGTCTACTGGGTGGGTGTGGATGGAGTGGGTGTGGCCTACTGGGTGGGGGTGGCCAGTTCTACATCGTTCACGTCAAGGGTGCCTGTGGGGGCCTGGGCAGGAGTGGGACAGATCTGAGGGTCTCTGGCAGAAGGGGGTGGGATCGGGGCAAGTGCCAAGGCATGGTCCACCAGGGCAAGTGCCAAGATGACACCACAAAATTGTACATTGGCTCCCGGCTGGTCTGGGCCAGGGCCAAGGCAGCGGGGGCCGTTCCCTCACTGTTTCCAGGATGGCTTCGCGGGCCACATGAAACCACTTCGCGGGCCGCATCCGGGCCCCGGGCCTTGTGTTAGACATGTCTGACTTAGATTTACCAGTATATACTGGTTCACAGTGCTTTACAGCCCTCTCTAAGTGGTTTACAGAGTCGGCATATTGTCGCCAATAATCTGGGCCCTCATTTTAACCACCTCGGAAGGATGGGAGGCTGAGTCAACCTTGAGCTGGTCAGGATCAAACCTCTGGCTCTGTGGGCAGAGTTAGCCTGTAATACTGCATTTTAACCACCGCATCACCCACAGGTCATATTTTTGTTGAAAAAAACAGAGTTGCCTGCACAATTCAGTTGCACTTTTTGTTGATAAGCTCATAATAGAAGTTGGAAGGATGAACAACACAATCTTGAGCTCGCATAATTTTTTGCTACTTCCCATTTTTCTGCTCCTGGGCAGAAAAGCCCACTGGCAAACCAGGAGCATGCAAAATCTCCATCGTTGGCATAAAACCATTTTTTCCTAAACGGGCAGATTCTTTCACTGACCTGCCAAAATCTGCTCTAAACTGTACCTCTGATCCATGATCCAGCTAAACAGTTAGATTCATTTTTCTAATCCAAACACAGAGCAGAATACAAAATAAACATAGAATAAATACAGAATACAGTATACAGACTAAAGAATAACAGAGTTGGAAGGGACCTTGGAGGTCTTCTAGTCCGACCCCCTGCTCAAGCAGGAAACCCTATACCATTTCAGACAAATGGTTGTCCAATCTCTTCTTAAAAACTTCCAGGGTTGGAGCATCCACAAATTCTGGAGGCAAGCCATCCCACTGGTTAATTGTTCTCACTAACAGGAAGTAGCTCCTTAATTCTCTTAATTTTAAAACAGGGTTTACCCTTCTCCTTTTCTTACCTTATGAGAACCATGTAACCTGGCATGGCTCCAAACGAATAAATCAAACAGCAGATTAAGGATAAAATTAAGAAATATTGCAGCATTGTGTCACACGTCTTCCCTCTGTGGCACTGTCCTGGCAGTGCCGAACCGTTCCCCAGCAGAAATCCTGGTGCCGAAATGCAGGAGCAATTTGTAAGGACCTGTCAAAATATAAGTAGAAACAATTTAAGGCTGCATCTTGAGTAGCTTGCTCTTAATCTTAATCTCCAGGGGAGACTGTTGGTGGCATTATAGTCTCAGGTACACCAACTTAGTCCTCAACTTATGACCACAAGTGAGCCCAAAATTTCCATGGCTAAGCAAGACAGTTGTTAAGTGAGTTTTGCCCCATTTTATAACCTTTCTTGCCACAGTTGTAAAATGAGTCACTGCAGTGGTTACATTAGTCACACAGTTGTTAAGCGAATCTGTCTTTCCCGTTGACTTTGCTTGTAAGAAGGTCACAAAAGGGGATCACATGACCACCACAGGATGCTGCAACCATTATAATAATAATAATAATAATAATAATAATAACAACAACAACAACAACAACAACAACAATGATAATAATAATATACCATCAAACATCCACATCTGCCTATCCCAGGTCCTTAGTAAGGACTAGATAGGTAGACAAAAATGCCAAATCCAGTCTGAACATCTGGCTGACTGTGCGATGATCAATAATAATAGTAATAATAATAATAATAATAATAGTAGTAGTAGTAGTAGTAGTAGTAGTAGTAGTAGTAGTAGTAGTAGTAAATTTGGAAGGGACCTTGGAGGTCATCTAGTCCAACCCCCTGCTCAGGCAGGAAACTCTTTACCATTTCGGACAAATGGCTATCCAGTCTCTTCTTAAAAACTTCCAGTGTTGGAGCATTCACCGCTTCTGGAGGCAGGTTGTTCCACTGGTTAATTGTTCTAACTGTCAGGAAGTTTCTCCTTAGTTCTAGGTTGCTTCTCTCCTTGATGAGTTTCCATCCGTTGCTTCTTTTCCTGCCCTCAGGCCCTTTGGAGAACAGCTTGACTCCCTCTCCTTTTATTATAAATATGAGCAGGTTGCCAAGCGTCTCAATTTTGATTATGTGACCCACGAGGATGCTGCAACAGTCGTAAATGGGAAAAATGGTCCCAAGTCACTATTTGCAGTGGTGTTGTAACTTTGAATGGTCACTAAATGAACAGTTGTAAGTCAAGGAAGGTAAGTGAAGGTTCGTTCTACGAGCTTGTGGGTTGGTTTCTGAACGTTGGTTTCTGAACGTTTCATTACCAGGCTAGGTAACATCTTCAGCAGAGTTTAGGGGGTGGTCAGTGTTCTTCTGTTTATAAGGGCTTCAGGTGTGGGTGTGTGTCAAGTGAGGGTCTGTAATGAGAAGAAACCTTCACCTTCATCCTACACCCGAGCTACAGATATTCGCCACTGTCCACTGATACATCCCAGTCATCTACTAAAGATCTTTATCTCCAAAAGACTTACGTATGAAAAAGGACTATTTCCAAAAGGTAAAAGACTCAAAGCCAAAATGACTTTAGGGCTTAAATCACAGCATGGTGAAGGAGCTGCTACTGAAAAGGCAACTGAAGACGACCCTCACCCACCAGTTTTCCAGGATGGGCAAAAACAGTACCCCTTCCTAACTAGATCCTATAGGACAGACGTGTCAAACCCGCGATGTCACGTGACGTCGCGCAACATATTGGGATGGTTTTGCCACTGCCAGCAATGGGGTGGGTGTGGCTTCCGGATGACGTGTCTGGCCCACGGGCTGGCAGTTTGACACCCCTGCTATAGGAGGTAACAAGGGCTCAATCCATACAGAAGTTTGAAGATCCCTATCAACATCTTCAACTGGGTCTGGAAGTCAACCCGCAATCAGTGCTGCTTCTTCAACACAAGTGTTATTCTATTCAGCTGGTACTTCTTCGTTCCCTCCCTATTTCTTTCTTACACAATGCTTCTACTCTCTCTGAGGGTCTTCTGTTACTGCTGTTCATTGGACCTTTGCACCAGGGAATTTTAAGAATATTCTAAAGGCTGTCCACCCAAGCTCTCACTAGAGTCAACAGGAACTGCATCAAACACCTTGCCTACTGTATCCAAAGTAAGGGCACTGCTGCCAAGCTACAGCCATTTGTGTTGGTTGAGGCTGCCTGAAATCTATTGTATGCCTTACTGTGTTTTTCCCAGTTCCATTGGATATGCCACATCCAGCGAGACATGATGAAACATACGTAATTCCGTTCTCTCCGCAAACAGGGTCCCAGGTCTTTGTAGAGCAATTGCAGTGACGGTTACATTCAGCGTACAAGTATGCATCTGTGTAGGACAATTGATCTATCCTGCAAAACATACACAAAGTTGAACAAAACACACATGCAACAGAAGAGAAGAAATTCTTGTAAATAAGAAGCTTGATGGCTTTGCTCAGTGCCAGCGTCACCGCATCAAATCTGTTTGATGAAGATTTAAAGAATTTTAATATGAACTTGATTAAGCAAATCCAAGGATCATATCAGTTTGGATGATCTACTTTGTGGAAGACTATCTTTCAGCTTGAATAGGGAAATTCAACGGAATGGATTACATTTAACAATTCATGTTGACTGCTTGACTTAGAACGTCAAATCAGTCCATTTTTCTGAATCAGACCAATTTGATGAATTGGCTTGGACACAATTTGCAATAGCTTCTTTCAAGCAACAGAGCAGCTTAAACAAGGAATAAACAAATAAACTTATAAGAATAAGAAGCTTTTTCACTAAGTGTGTACTGTACTAGACAAGCAGAAGACTTCAAATACTGGGAGAAGTTTGGAGATAACCATAACATCTCATAAAATCCTTTCAATGTATTTAATAGAACATGTCCTAGTGGACAATCACTTAGTGGAGTCCTAGTGGACAATCACTTAGATATGAGCCAGCAGTGTGCTGCAGCTGCCAAAAAAGCCAACACAGTGCTGGGCTGCATTAACAGAGGGATAGAATCAAGATCACATGAAATATTAATACCACTTTACAATGCCTTGGTAAGGCCACACTTGGAATACTGCATCCAGTTTTGGTCACCACGATGTAAAAAAGATGCTGAGACTCTAGAAAGAGTACAGAGAAGAGCAACAAAGATGATTAGGGGACTGGAGGCTAAAGCATATAAGGAACGGTTGCTGGAATTGGGTATGTCTAGTTTAACGAAGAGAAGGATGAGGGGGGACATGATAGGGAGGATTTTACTTAGGGATGATTTTAAGAATAATTTTAATAGGAAATACAGCTTCTAATATTTGGTTTTTAATTCGGTTTTATAGGGGTTTATATTTTTTGTATTTTGTATTTGTACTTGTTTTAATATGCTGTGCACCGCCCTGAGTCCTGCGGGAGAAGGGCGGTATATAAATTAAATTATTATTATTATTATTATTATTATTATTATTATTATTATTATTATTATTATTATTATTATTATTATTATTATTATTATTATTATTATTATTATAGCACTGTTCCAGTATCTCAGGGGCTGCCCCAAAGAAGAGGGAGTCAAACTATTCTCCAAAGCGCCTGAAGGCAGGACAAGAAGCAACGGATGGAAACTAATCAAGGAGAGAAGCAACTTAGAACTAAGGAGAAACTTCCTGACAGTTAGAACAATTAACCAATGGAACAACCTGCCTCCAGAAGCGGTGAATGTTCCAACACTGGAAGTTTTTAAGAAGAGACTGGACAGCCGTTTGTCTGAAATGGTGTAGGGTTCCTGCCTGGGCAGGGGGTTGGACTCGATGACCTCCAAGGTCCCTTCCAACTTTATTATTATTATTATGTCACGGTAAACACTTAAGTAGACATCCCATCAATTTGTGCTAAAAAGCATTGTAGCTGGGAATGACACAAGTCAGATTAGCTAGTAAAGAGTTTCTCTCTTTCCAAATAACTAGTGGGAAAAACAGTAGAGTGAACCAATAATAAGAGGCTGCTCTTTCTATTCTGTGTTTGTGCATTTGGGGGAGGATTAATGCAAAACTGCCTGCTAGATGTCTCCTCAAAAATAGGTCTAAATTCTCTTATTCCTAAAAGTTAAGCCTTGGGTGAGCAATCTGGGCCTTTAAAATTAATCTGACCATTAGATGGCAGTATCAGGGGTAGGCAACCTTGGCTCTTTTATGACTTGTGGACTTCAACTCCCAGAATTCCTGAGCCAGCATGCCTCAGCTTGGAAACCTCTTCCTTTCCCCTCAGCATAGCTGGCTCAGGAATCCTGGGAGTTGAAGTCTACAAGTCATAAAAGAGCCAAGGTTGCTTACCCCTGAACTAGATGAATTTGTAATTGCTTTCTTACTATCTAAGGGTCATCTAGAGTTTTGCAGCCCATATATGTTCAACCTAATTAAGCCACACATAAGAGAAACTTCAAAATTAAGGGAACTTCAGTGTATTTGATAGAATGCCAAAAGTTTTGATAGGAATCGGGTACAAAATGGAGGCTTTGGGGAAGTGAAGATAAAGATTAGGATGACGATTCAACCTAACTTGACGGCAAACATAGTCAATCAAGTTAGGGACATACTCTTGCAGTTCTTTGAGGTCCTTGATGCTCTCAGAACGTGGTGTGCTTTTTTGGCAAAGGTTTCATTACCCAGCTAGATAACATCATCAGTGCTAGAAGGAAGCAAAGCCCACTCCCTTCCAGCACTGATGATGTTACCTATTTTGGTAATGAAATGTCTGCAAGAAAACCACCAAGCTCAGATAGCACCAAGGACACCACAGTTCCACCCGGAGCTACAAATATTCTCTTCTATCTTGTAGATCTTTTGGCATTAACATGGACACTTTTTTTTGAGATGGCCTTCTTCATCTTCATTTCCAGGCCAAAACCTGGCAAACTGAATAAATGAATAATAGAATAACAAGAGTTGGAAGGGACCTTGGAGGTCTTCCAATTCAACCTCTGCTCAGGCAAGAAAACCTGTCCCATTTCAGACAAATGGTTGTCCAGTCTCTTCTTAAAAAGCTCCAGTGTTGGAGCACCCACAACTTCTGGAGGCAAGCCCTTCCACTGATTAATTGTTCTAACTGTCAGGAAATTTCTCTTTAGTTCTAGGTTGCTTCTCTCCTTGATTAGTTTCCATCCCTTGCTTCTTGTTCTGCCTTCAGGCACTTTGGATAATAGCTTGACTACCTCTTCTTTGTGGCAGCCCCTGAGATATTGGAACACTGCAATCATGTCCCCCTAGTCCTTGAAGGAGACACAGTTCGTGCCTTTCAAATTCATGAAGGGAACAAATTATTATTGACAAATAACTCCAAATCCAGATACTATTTCTACTATGAAGCAAGCTGGAATAAGGGTTAGATCAGGTACATACCCTTCATAAGAGACACTTAAACCAGCAACAGAAGAGTTCTTGCAGTTCATAGCAAAAGCAGAATAATAGATGAGATATTCAATTAAGGAACTCCAAAACGCTATGTGGGCAGCTTGATATATGTTTGTCTTGAATTTCTTCATCATCAGGCCTCCAAAAAAATACCCAGCACATATGACTGGTAAATTGTATACACCTAGAATAGGAGACAGTGAAAATCAGGTTTTTTATACCTCACCATTTTTGTTGACGCCCGTGTTTACACTCATACTCAGCCACCTGCATTCTCACGTCCATATACTCGGTTTACCTATGTAGAAAATGGCGTCCGATGCAGAGATTCCATACTGTTGCTCCATGTATTTGGGCATAAAGATAAACATCCCGATCCAACCACTGAACTGAATTACAGTGATACAAAGGAAAAGCATGTAAACCCAATTGTGAAGCAGACTCTTCAGGTAGGGAACAAAATCTGGAAACCAAATCAAAGAAAAGGATCTCAGCTTCTTTGCAGTCATTGGTTCCAATGGAAGTTTTGCTTGGAGGACCTACACTTTCTCTCCCTTGTGCACATAGGGATCGGTTTGGTCTAGTGGTTAAAGCAACAGCTCACAACTGCTCAAAGTTACAACAGACCCCCCCCAAAAAAAGGTACTTACAACCCAGTTCTGAAGTTCCAAAGGCTGGTCCCTCCCTTGGTCACATGACTGTATTTTGGGTGCTTGGCAACCAGCCTGCATTTACAGCCATTTGCAGCATCCTGTGGTAACATGACTACAATTTACAATGTTTCCTTCCAGTTTTTGGTGAAAACATCCCATAGTAAACAATGGGTTCCTTTAATGACTGCAGCACTTAATGACTGTGGCAATTGCTGTATGACCACAATGTTTGCTTAACAACGGCTGCAAAAAAGTCATAAAATTGGACCTGGTTATGTGATGACCCACTTTAGAACTATCATTAGTTACAGCCTTAATGGACAGTCTCCACTGTGGTCATATTTTGAGGACCTAGGAGTTGGGATCAAACCTATTGTCTTGTTTAGATTGGTGTGAACATGCATCTCCTTCTCATGGTCATTGGACACTGTTCTGCAAGACCATTCTGCTTTGGTTACTGCAAGAGTCCAGCTTTCTAATTCTGCACTCTCCCTGTACACACCAAGCTGACCCCCCATTTTGATAATGGATCAGTCCGAATAGTAACCGGGGTGGGAGGAGGAAGATGGGAACTGCAAGGTGAATTGGAAGAGAGTCCGTTCTCCTCAAAGTTGCCCCATGGAACAGCCCCATGGAACAACTGTGCTTGATCACAGTTGTTCAGGCTGCTTCTCAAAACGGGTTGACCAGCAATAGAAACAATCAACCCATGATAAAATACCTTTAAGAAGAAAATGTGAGACGAAGCCTAAAAGAAGAGCTGGTTCTCTTCTACTCATCTCATCTGGAGAAGTAAAAAAGCCACTTCTTTTCCTGGCCTGACAGCTTTTCTACCTGGGAAACGGTTTCTTAGGCTAAGAGTTGTTGTTGTTCTTAGTTGCGAAGTTGTGTCCGACCCATCACGACCCCATGGACAACATTCCTCCAGGCCTTCCTGTCCTCTACCATCTTCTGGAGTCCATTGAAGCTCACGCCTACTGCTTCAGTGACTCCATCCAGCCACCTCATTCTCTGTCGTCCCCTTCTTCTATTGCCCTCCATCTTTCCCAGCATCAGGCTCTTCTCCAGTGAGTCCTTCCTTCTCATTAGGTGGCCAAAGTACTTGAGTTTCAACTTCAGGATCTGGCCTTCTAAAGAGCAGTCAGGGTTGATCTCCTCTAGGACTGACCGGTTTGATCGCCTTGCAGTCCAGGGGACTCGCAGGAGTCTTCTCCAGCACCATAGTTCAAAGGCCTCAATTCTTATAGTCCAACTTTCACAGCCATACATTGGAACTGGGAAAACCATGGCCTTGACTATACGTACTAGGCTAGGAGTGGCTTCTGATAAATGTCTCAAAAGCACATTATCTATCTAGCACTTAAGGTAACTACCGTAACCATGGCTAGTAGTTGAGTCCTTGCAACTGGACTTTTTTTCTTGTTGGTTCAAAACATTTTGCTGCTTATGCAAGCAGTGAAACATTTTGAATCAATAAGAAAAGAAATCAAGTTGTCTGGACTCAACTTCCAGACTATTCTACCTGGACAACTGAGAATCTTCATCAACATAGCCTAAACCATGACTGAAATTCTTCCAGTTATAGAATTCTTGGCAAATTTAACTTATTATTAAATGATTTAAAGAGTTTCAGTCAAGAAAAGCCCATCATCTTCAGTTTTTTAAAACAGGAAACTTGGTCCACTGCTGTATATTTGTTATTGTCTGGGGTTTGAAGGATAATGTGTTTTGGCTTTTGTTTTGCTTTTTGCTCACCCTTGTAAAGTTCACGCAATTTTATTTTTGCCTGGCCTGTGTTTTCTGCTTGCAAGAGGGATGTGTTTCTTTTGGCTGTTGCTTCGATGTTGTTTTCTTCTCCTTCTTTTACCAGAGTCTTGGGCAAGAAGCAGAAAGGGATCGCAACAAGGAAATTCACAAAGGCACATATTAGAACTCCCAGCCACCAGGCACCGACCCAACGGGCATCCGTGAGGTTTATTGCCACCTCCTCTGGTGAGAAAGAAAAATTAAGAGTCATTCATTAGGCTTAAAGGCTGGGTGGGTGCATTTATAGAGAGAGGGAAGGTAGGAAAAATAGAGAGAATGGTCCCTAATGTCTTCATTCTTTATTAACTTTTATCTTCAGCATAGAGCCCCCACTTTTTAAACATGTATTCCGCTTTCTTTCTCGCTTTTAAGTCATTTTTGTGACCACCGTTTCTCTGCAAATGCATTAGAGCAGCGGTTCTCAACCTATGGGTCGCGACCCCATTTGGGGTCGATCGACCATTTCACGGGGGTCGCCAAGCAAGGCTGTCCGCCATTTTTTTCCCCTTTTCCGGCGGGTGCCTTACCTCCCTTGAGCTGGGCCAGCTGGTGGTCGGCCTGCTCCGTCTCTGCCGCTTGCCAGCTACGCCTCGGCCAGCGCAGGGGGCGGAACCACGCATACGCGGCGCTCCCGGGCAGGGAAAGTCCTCGACTTACGACCGGTTTAGTCCTTGACTTACGACCGATTTAGTCCTCGACTTATGATCGGTTGGGGGTCGCGGCATTAAAAAGGTTGAGAACCACTGCATTAGAGGAAAGGCTCCATCTTTTCCCAGGGGCATTGTGGGGCAAAGTGGCCCCCGGTGGAATATGGAGAAGATAGCACCACGCTGGGAAACTTCTAGTTGTGTGAACTCCAGCTCCCAGAATTCTCAGCGAAGGCCAAACTGGTTGGGAAGTTGTGGGAGTTGATGTCCGTACATCTGGAAGTTGCTAAGAATGAGGAAACTTGGCTCTATGTTTGCCATACTTAACTTGGTTAACCTTAATGTGGCTTCAGAGGAAATAAACTGCAGCTAGCAAAAAATTGTGCTGTTTAATAAAATTTGGTCAGAAAAAGCGCTGCTGATTTTTGCTGCCATAGATTAATACTGATTCCCTCCTGCAATGGCTCTGTACTATGAGAGAGAGGGAGTGGGTGGGTGGGAGGGAGGGAGAGAGAGAGAGGGAGAGGGAGAGAGAGAGAGAGAGAAGGAGGGAGGGAGGGAGTGAATTGATAGATGGTGGATAGGTAGGTAGGTAGGTAGGTAGGTAGGTAGGTAGGTAGGTAGGTAGATAGATAGATAGATAGATAGATAGATAGATAGATAGATAGATAGATAGATAGATAGATAGATAGATAGATAGATAGATAGATAGATAGATAGATAGTACTGTGTAGTGGGCTTCAGTAGACAAGGAGCAGACCAGCATAGTTACAACATCATTTATTGACTCAAACTGGAGAACTGCAGGCAATTTCCTGTAATTTATACTCTGAGCCCACAGGGCCTTAACCAATCACAAAACTTGGAAAGCCCGCCCAAATATAATTGTTCAAAGTTTCCCTCCAAAACAGTTGGAGTTAATAGTCAGGATCATCTAAAGCAGTGGTTCTCAACCTTTTTAATGCCGCGACCCCAACCGGTCGTAAGTCGAGGACTAAACCGGTCGTAAATCGAGGACTAAACCGGTCGTAAGTCGAGGACTAAACCGGTCGTAAGTCGAGGACTAAACCGGTCGTAAGCCGAGGACTACCCAACCGGTCATAAGTCGAGGACTTTCCCTGCCAGGGAGCGCCGCGCATGCGTGGTTCCGCCCCCTGCGCTGGCCGAGGCGTAGCTGGCAAGCGGCAGAGATGGAGCAGGCCGACCACCAGCTGGCCCAGCCCAAGGGAGGTAAGGCACCCGCCGGAAAAAGGGGGGAAAAATGGCGGACAAAAAAAATGGCGGACAGCCTTGCTTGGCGACCCCCGTGAAATGGTCGATCGACCCCAAATGGTGTCCCGACCCACAGGTTGAGAACCACTGATCTAAAGGTTAGTTTCACTTTACAGGACTTAACACTACTTTATATATTTCAATACACAACAGATAGATCGATAGATAGATAGATAGATAGATAGATAGATAGATAGATAGATAGATAGATAGATAGATAGATAGATAGATAGATAGATAGATAGGTAGGTAGGTAGGTAGGTAGGTAGGTAGGTAGGTAGGTAGGTAGGTAGGTAGGTAGGTAGGTAGGTAGGTAAATGATAGACAGACAGACAGACAGACAGATAGATAATTAGATAATGATAGATGATAGATGGACAGATATACACACATACACAATATATGTAGTTATGTAGCATTTCCATATACCAGAGTGATAACCTGCTGCTCTCCAGAATGTTTAGGGGGAATATCAACTCTTATCATTTCTAGCCAACAGGGAAAGAATTAAGTTTGGGGTTCAAAATATCAGGAAAGCCAACCTGGAAGATCAAAATCACCCATTTTCAGTGTCATGATGTCACTGTGCAAGGTCAGTGATGGATCCATGACGACTCATGTTGACCTTAATAATCACGCCACTACATTTCCATTCATGACAAAGCAAAGTGAAAATAGTCACTGTAACAACTGGTATGAAGACACCAAAACTCCAAAATTAGAAAATTCAGAATGACATGCACGGAATTGTTTTTCCAAGGGATTAATGCTTACAGGTTTTGTTGGCCAATTGTCTTACCCAGGTTTATGAATCCAATGTCCACATACAACGTGGCACAATAGGAGCCAATCAGTAAACCAAGTAAAGGACCCACGACAGTTGCTATTTGTAGACAGCCTAAAAGAGTAGGAAAGATTCAAACATGTGAAAAGAGTTAAATCCATATATGTCCATAAGCAGCCGAGCTGACATTGCAATGTCAAAACACATTTTTCCATTTTCTAATGAAGTATCTAGATTCTACAGCCACTCAGGTAATTGTGTGCTGCTTGAAGGACCAGTAGATATTTAACTGGGTTAGTACTGATTGGATTATATATAAGATACTGGATTCTGGAAATACATTAATGCAATTGCAGGTAGTCCTTGAGTTACATCCATTAATTTAGTGACTGTATGAAGTTACGGCAGTGTTGAAAAAACTGACTTCTGACTGGTACTTGAAGTTATGGCCATTACAGCATCCTCATGGTCATATGATAATGATCTGGGTATGTGGCAAGCAGCTCACACTTAATGAAAGTTGTAGGATCCTGGAGTCATGTGATCAGTATTTATGACCTTCCCTGCCAGCTTCCCACAAGCAGAGTCAATGGGGAAGCCATCAGGAGGTCACTCTTCCCACCATTTTTTCTCCCAAGTTGGTTTTGGACAGAAGAGCATATGCAGGCCTAGCAGCTGGGCATCTGCCCACCATCCCATACTTTCTCCATACTATAATACCCACTCACCTGCCCAGACTTGTGCTGGATCAGAGCACCTACCCATGCAACCATCCACAGTCATGCATGCCACAGCAACAACTCCCATCCATCTGTACTCTGTAGCACTCATCCACCACCCACCTACTTGTGAGCCACCTAAGAAAAGTCTCACCATGACCAGGACTTAACGATTTCCTTCCAGCTTCCCCATTGACTTTGCTTATTGGGAGCGGCAGGAAGTCAAATTCAGAATCACATGAGGTCCTGCTTAATGACCCACGATTATTGCTTAACAATGGCAATTGGGATTGTTGTCGATAAGTGATGTAGTAATGTGACATCACACTTTATGACTGCATCACTTAATGGAAATTCCAGTTCCAACTGCTGTCATAACTCAAGGACTACCTGTATAAATAAATTGTCTTTCCCTCTGAGCACTGTGATTGCACTGGAAATGTATTACTTCTGATGTAACTAAAACGAAAATCACAGCATCCTTCGCTGACTGAGACTGCCGGGAGTTGTAATTCAGCTGTCAATGCTGCTAACATCCGATGTTTTTGCATTGACAACAGATGGAGATGCAGCCATTTTCTTCTTTTTGCTTTTAGAGTTAGATGATGCTGGGGGGGGGGGATGTGCATGAGAGTCCAGCTAGACATAACAACACTGAACCTAGCTGAGAACCAAGGTTATTGAAATAAGAGATGATAAAGAGTTGGCGGGATGGAGAGCTGGAGAGGAAGCCCGTGCTTTAAGCTAATTGGGGGATGTGATTTATGACTGTTAATTGGAGGAGGGAATTGTGCTTTGATACTATGTGCTCAGGGGAGGGGAATTCAGTTTTTGGCTTTGATTATGTTAGTGCCGATGCTATGCTACTCAAATAAAGATTCTTTAAGGTAAACAATGCCTTGAAGTTCTTTGAAGAGTTTCATCTGTCGGAACCATGACATCAGCACTACAAATTTCTTCCTCCTGGGTTAGAAAAGCCTTTTAAAAAGGTTTTTTTTTATAAAGATGATATTTGAGCTTTTGCAGGCTTACCTATGTAGAATGGAGAATTTTCTGATCTTGCAAAATCTTCTAGATAGGAGATGCCTAAAGGTGCGATGGGAGTTTCACCTATTCCTCGTACGATGTTTCCTATCAGTACAAACACCCACATCAAGGATCCTTCTTGATTCTCACATTCTAAAAAGGGCAAGGATAAGCAGAAACAATAAACCAAAAACTCCATGAGGAGGATGTTCATAGAAGTAAAACTGCTGATGCTTTTCATTGGTCAGTAAGGAAATAGGTGTGTATCAGCAACGAAAGTTATGTGTGAATGACCATGGATAAGTAATGCAGAGGAAGCTAAATGGACCAAAAGAGGAACTTTACCTTTTGAAGGTAACGGGGCAGGTTTGAATATGTCACTTTGATTTGCAAGGCAAACTGCCATACTTGAAGAAGCATTTTCAGAAGAGGAAACAGTGTTTTCATACTGATACCTGTGAATCAAAATAAATGGTATAAAATAACACTAAGGTGTGTTCATTCTTTCCATGTGGGTAGGGGAGTCCATGGGCACGCTTTAGTAGAAATATTCACAATGTCATCTGTTTATTCATCTATTCAATAGAATTCAGTGGAACATATTTACAATCCGTGAAGATTGATTTAACAGTGGTCCTGCAAGTGACTAACATTTCTTAAGGGAGAATAGATGACCACAGAGAACAAATACATTATTTTGCATCTTTTGCATATAAGGATATTAGGATGATTTATATCATCATAACTTGCACTGGATGCCTTTGGGGAAATGAATGTGAATCTGTCTATAAAAGGAAATATTGGTACTTATTGCTTGGATTGGCTTTCTGATCCTCTCTTAGGTGAAATATTTACTGAATTATTTATTCCTCCAAAGCCATATTTACAAAATGCACAAGCAATAGAACATAGTCCAACTAGAGCCTTGAACTTTAAGAGAGCTAATTTTAATAAACTTAGAGACACCTTGGGAAGGATTCCATGGATGAGAATCCTCAAGGGAAAAACAACTGAAGAAGCTTGGGAAATTTTGAAAAGAGAGATTATAACAGCCCAGTCTAGCACAATATCAACAAAGAAGAAAAATAACAGTTCTCAAAAGAAACCAGCATGGCTGCATAAAGAACTATCTGATAAACTGAAAGATAAAAAGGACAAGTATAAAAAGTGCAAAGAGGGGCACATAACTAAGTCAGAATATCAGCAAATAGCCTGAGCCTGCAAAGATGAAGTGAGGAAAGCTAAGGCTCAAAATGAATTAAGGCTTGGACAAAAGTAAAAAATAACAACAAAAAAAGCTTCTTTCAACATGTAAAAAACAAGAAAAAAATTAAGGAAATGATTGGTCCATTAGTGGGAGAAAGTGCAAGATGGTGACAAGCAACAGGGAGAAAGCAGAACTACTTAACTTGTTTTTTGCATCCGTTTTTACACAAAGGGAAAAAACAGTCCAACCTATCAAAAACAGTACCGTAAAAAACAGATTAAAAACACAAGTTAAGATACACAAGAAAATGGTAAGTGACCACCTGTCTACCCTAGACGAGTTCAAATCACCAGGACCAGCTGGACTACACCCCAAGGTTCTGAAGGAACTGGCAGATGTCATCTCAGAACCACTGAACTATATCTTTCAAAGATTCTGGAGCACTGGGGAACTACCAGAGGACTGGAAAAGAGCTGATGTAGTTCCCATCTTCAAAAAAGAAAAAAAATGGATCCAGGAAACTACAGACCTATCATCCTAACCTCAATACCTGGAAAGATTCTGGAAAAGATAATCAAGCAATGAATCAGCGAACACCTAGAGGCAAACAAAGTCATTACCAAAAGCCAACATGACTTTGTCAAAAACAGATCATGCCAGACAAATCTTATTGCATTCTTTGACCAGGTGACAAAATTAGTGGACTAGAGGAATGCTATGGATATAATTTACTTTGACTTTAGTAAGGCATTTTATAAAGTAGACCACAACCTACTACTTAATAAGATAGAAAAATGTGGATTAGACAGCATCACCACCAGATGGATTCGTAGCTGGCTGACCGGCCGTACTCAGCATGTGGTCCTCAATGGAACTGCATCTACATGGAGGGAAGTGTGTAGTGGGGTGCCCCAGGGCTCTGTTCTGGGCCCAATGCTCTTCAACATCTTCATCAACGATTTGGACGAGGGGATAGATGGGGAACTCATCAAATTTGCAGACGACACCAAGCTGGGAGGAATAGCCAACACTCCAGAAGACAGGCTTGAGATACAGGAGGATCTTGACAGACTTGAACATTGGCCACTACCTAACAAAATTAAATTCAATGGCGAAAAAAGTAAGGTTCTACATTTAGGCAAAAAACCCCAAATGCACAAGTATAGTATAGATGATACCTTGCTCAATAGTAGCAACTGTGAGAGGGATCTCAGAGTCCTAGTGGACAATCACTTAAAGATGAGCCAGCAGTGTGCTGCAGCTGCCAAAAAAGCCAACACAGTGCTAGGCTGCATTAACAGAGGGCTAGAACCAAGATCACATGAAGTGTTAATACCACTTTACAATGCCTTGGTAAGGCCACACTTGGAATACTGCATCCAGTTTTGGTCACTATGATGTAAAAAAGATGTTGAGACAAAGAGTACAGAGAAGAGCAATGAAGATGATTAGGGGACTGGAGGCTAAAACATATAAGGAACAGTTGCTGGAATTGGGTATGCCCAGTTTAATAAAGAGAAGGACGAGGGGTGACATGATAGCAATTTTCCAATATCTCAGGGGTTGCCACAAAAAAGAGGGAGTCAAGCTATTCTGCAAAGCACCTGAAGGCAGGACAAGAAGCAACAGATGGAAACTAATCAAGGAGAGAAGCAACCTAGAACTAAGGAGAAACTTCCTGACAGTTAGAACAATTAACCAGTGGAACAACCTGCCTCCAGAAGCAGTGAATGCTCCAACACTAGAAGTTTTTAAGAAGAGACTGGACAGCCATTTGTCCGAAATGGTATAGGGTTTCCTGCCTAGATGACCTCCAAAGTTCCTTCCAACTCCATTATTATTAATATTACTGTTACTACTATTATTACCAGTGCTTTTTTTCTAAAAAAAAAAAAAAAAAAAAAAAGGTGCCGGAACTCACACATGTCATACAACCCGCCTTGCCTACCCTACAAGGTTCCATCCAAAAAAGGTGCCGGAATTCCGTTCTGGGCGTTCTATGAGAAAAAAAGCCCTGATTATTACTATTATTACTATTATTACTATTGTGGTTTGTTGTTGTTGTTGTTGTTATTATTATTAAAATTAGCAACCCAGAACAAGAATAAATGAGGGTCATCAGTTTTGGGGATGTGGGAGAAGGAGGGGGAGATGAGAAACCATGCATTTCAATGATGTGACACAAACCACACAGCTGACATACATCAGGATGCAAGTATGAAAGGCTACATTTGATGTTGTGGCAACACAATATACATTTTGTCATTGTCACATTGTATTTACAATGGTCAGGGTCATGTGACCTTCCCAACCAAGTCAATAGGGGAATCTGGGTTTACTTAATGACCGTGTGGTTCACTTAACAACTGCAGGGATTCACTTAACAACCATGGCAAAAAAGGTCATAAAATCAGGCACGGCTCCCTTAACAACCACCTTGTTAGCAATGGAAATTCTGTTTCCAACTGGGGTTGTGCGTTGAGGACTACCCACATGAGAATTTGATAAGATTAGGAACTTACCTCCCCATTAGAAAATGAGGCAGTACTATCAAAACACAGCCCAAGCCCATGGTTACACATCCAAGCGCAATCATGCGTGGCCTGTGAAGTTTTGCTCCCAAGTAACTCACAAAGACGATCACCAGCAGGTCACCTGTAGAAATAAACTAGGCTCAGTGCGAACAGGAATTCCTTCATTCCTAAGTTTTCATTCTTCCTTTCTAATAATCTTCTGTTGGAATGTGCTTATCATGCTGATGTTTGGTATAACCCAGGGGTAGTCAACCTTGGCTCTTTTATGACTCGTGGACTTCAACTCCCAGAATTCCTGAGCCAGCCACGCTGAGGGGAAAGGGAGAGGTTTCCATGCTTAGCCATGCTGGCTCAGGAATTCTGGGAGTTGAAGTCCACGAGTCATAAAAGAGCCGAGGTTGCCTACCCCTGGTATAACCAATATTAAATACACATAAAATTTAAATAAATGTACTTATTTGTTAGGATATTAAATCTAGAAGCTGGAACAGTAAAATTGCACATTGGGCCAAGAATACACAGTTGTTGTTGATTGGTTGGAGAATGCTGGCTCCTGCATGAGGCAATCTGCACTATGATTGGTTGCTCTGGGGAGAAAGGGGGAGTTTCCGTTTTTTTCACAACTTTTTCTTCTGTGTGCTCTGTGTGCTGGTTGAGTTTTACCTCATGATGTCCCTGTGTACCTGACTATCTTGTCTGGTACAAATATAAATGATGAACATATTTATTTATATAAAACTACAAACTAAATATAAATGATAAACATATTTATTTATATAAAACTACAAACTAAATATAAATGATAAACATATTTATTTATATAAAACTACAAACTAAATATAAATGATAAACATACTTATTTATATAAAACTACAAACTAAATATAAATGATAAACATATTTATTTATCTAAAACTACAAGTTTGCGTCAGCTTGTCTGACTTCATTAGAACAGTTGCTGCGCAATTCCCTGATATTATTTATTACAAACCATTCGACGGGTTCATCTATTTGCCTACCCATTTCGAAGGCTCCATTGATAATTCCAACCAGATAGGCAGGGATGTTGAAACGCCTTTCAATCTGAGTCAGCATGCTGTTTATGTACGCCCCAGACATAGTCTTGGACAGATAAGCTAAATGTAACATTATCAAAAATATCTGGAAGGAAATGACAACCAATAGGGAATTAAATGCATCAAATTCACTGGCACGTAGAGGGTAAAATATGGGGTTGAGACAAAGATAATCAAAGTTCTGTTTCCCACTCAATGGATTTGAGCTGGGAACTATCTCTCTTTTTAAAAAATCAACTTTATGAAGTTTCAAGGAGAGATAAAATACAAAATAACAGAAAAAAAGAAAATTAGGGGAAAAGGGCATGAAAAGGGAGAAAAAAAGGAACAAAATTAACAGCACAAATATATAATAAAGTGGCCTCTTACTCTAAATTAAACAAAAGTACAAAAGCAACATATAAAATGGATCAATTAGACAATAAAAATAACATTAGAATTATATAACAAAATAACTTCTTACTCTAAGTTTAAGCATAAACATAAAAGAATATACAGCATTCATGTCTAATAGTGGCAATAAAAATACACAATATTTCTATAAGCATAACAAATCTAATCATGAAATCCTAACATCTAAACTTCATTTTTATCTTTCTCAAGCAAGAAGTCCAAAGGTCTTCCAGTACTTGAGGGGCTTTCATAGAGAAGAAGGGGTCAACCTGTTCTCCAAAGCACCTGAGGGCAGGATAAGAAGTAAGGGATAGAAACTTATCAAGAAGTGATCCAACCTAGAAGTAAGGAGAAATTTCCTGATAGTAAGAACAATTAATCAGTTGAACATTTTGACTCCCATAGTTGTAGGTGTTCCATTGCTGGAGGTTTTCAAGAAAAGATTGGACATTTGTCATGGATGGTATAAGGCAGGGGTCTCCAAACTTGGCCCTTTTATGACTTGTGGACTTCAACTCCCAGAATTCCTCAGCCAGCGTGCCTGGCTGAGGAATTCTGGGAGTTGAAGTTCACAAGTCATAAAAGGGCCAAATTTGAAGACTCCTGGTATAAGTTCTCCTGTCTTGGGTAGGGGATTAGACTAGAGGACCTCCAAGGTCCCTTCCAGCCATATGATTCTATGGCCTTCAAGTAGAAACAAAGCAGGCCAGGCACTCTTTCACAAAGTTGTTGTGAACCTTAAATGAGGAACAATCCCATCCATGCTCTGGCCTTCAGCTCCTTAAGGAAAGATGAATTATAGCAGCGGTGTCAAACGGGCGGTGTCACGCACAGGCCACACATCCCCCGGCTCCGCAAAGACAAAAAACGTTGTGATATCTCACGATATGACACATGATGCAATCGAGTTTGACACCCGTGAATTATAGCATTTGACCCCCAGAAGCAAGAGGGGCATCCTGACTTCTGTTTTCCTCAAAAAGTGCTAAAACTTGGATTGGCAAATTAGCACAGATGTCTAAAAGAAAGATGCAGCCCTGGAGATGTGGGATCTTTGAATAATGTTTTCAATATCTAGAAGTTTATTTGATTAATGTTTCTAATTCCATGAAGTAACAAAGCAAATTTCATTTTCATTTTCATTTTATTTGATTTATATCCCGCCCTTCTCCCGACGGGACTCAGGGCGGCTCACAACATATTAAAACAAAGACATACCCACAATCCCCGCCGAATAAAACCAAATTAAAACCAAATATTTTAGAGTTGTGGTATTAAAATTTTCTAAAAAACCCAATTTAAATTCTTCATGAGGAACGTAGTGTCTGAGAAGGACTGGTTCAAACCTGTCAAGGACAAGGATCATACATAGTTTTAACAGAATAATAGAGTTGGATGGGACCTTGGAGGTCATCTAGTCCAACCCCCTGCTCAGGCAGGAAACCCTATACCATTTTTCAGACAAATGGCTGTCCAGTCTCTTCTTAAAAACCTCCAGTGTTGGAGTACCCACAACTTTTGGAGGCAAGTTTTTCCACTGATTAATTGTTCTGTCAGGAAATTTCTCCTTAGTTCTAGGTTGGTTCTCTCCTTGATTAGTTTTTGAACTTTAGTAACTCACAAACTCACTTCCTGAATATAACAATGAGCATTAGCAAGATCGTGCTAAGAATATTATGGGATGCTATAACACGTTACATGTTACATGGATAACATCAGCAATGAGTCAAATGATGTTAACCAATGAAAGAACACGTTCCATATCCAGTAGGTTTGAAATGTATATAAAATGATTTTTCTAAGTTGCTTTCTCTTTGAGTGAGATGCCTCCTCTTGCTTATGCATAAATAAAGAGATATTAATCTACCTTTTTGGCTTGGATCCTATTTGGACAAAGCACACCAAGCTAATGAATCTTGCTGGTGTTTATGATTAACTGTATTGTGTGAAGTTGGCCAGGGGGGTGTTATTCAGGAGGCAAACAATGGCTTAAGAATACTTCTAGTTTATTTGCATACATGTGTATTGGCACTGATGTCCTTTTTCCCTACAGTGGCCCAGTTTCCTTTTTTCACAAGCGTTATGTATGCAATTGCTCCCTTTTTTTTTGCTTTTCCAAGTGGTATTCCTGCTCCCTTATGTAACTATAAGAACAGTTGCAAAGGGAGTCAACAAAGGTATCAGATTCACTCTCAAATGGTTAGCTTTTAAAAGGCCAGGGTAATTTAAGACAGTTTAGCTTTAATCTCATTTGTTCTATTTGCAAACTATGGAAACCATCTGCAAAATTAGTAGGATGTTCTTTTCTTTTTTTCCCTGAGAATTATAGTGGCAGTCTGGCACAGCAAACTTCTTGACAATTTTGAAAATGAACTTTTTGGATAGGCCAAACGTTGAGCCAATAGAAATTATATTTTCTTGCAATAGACACATATGCAAAGATTCCCATACCCTGAACTCCATCTCTTTCAACATTACACCTTTTCTGTAATGACATGTGGGAAAGACCTTGGGAGACCCTACAAAGAGATGCTGCCTAGGGGAACGGTTAGATAAGAGACAGCACAGCCTGCAGCTGTTTAGTGGTGGGGCAAAAGAGGCTAGGAAGAGATGGCGGGTGAATTGTACTTCCACACTTGCAAGATTGACGTCGGCCTTACCAGGTGGACCAGACAGGAAATATGCCTAGATCAGGGGTAGGCAACCTTGGCTCTTTTATGACTCGTGGACTTCAACTCCCAGAATTCCTGAGCCAGCTTGGCTGGCTCAGGAATTCTGGGAGTTGAAGTCCACGAGTCATAAAAGAGCCAAGGTTGCCTACCCCTGGCCTAGATGAACCAATTCTACTTTATTTTAAGCCTACATTAAACAAATCTTGCAAATCTGAGCGTCTGAAAGTGTCAGTTTAACTTTTCACGTGGAACTTTTGGCATGAAACCAACATTGTATATATTTTAACAGATGTTCAGATTCTTCCAGGCAAGGAATCAGGAGGTTAGTCAAGCCTACAAAGTATTATTCATTTATTGTCAACCGGTTAGCCTTGTTTGCCCTTTTGTTCTCATGTTTTTGCTTTTGTTATGCTTCTCTCTTTCTCCTTTTAATTGTTGTATTGATGTTTCTAACCATGTTCACTGCCCAGAATTGCCTTGTCGAGATGGGCAGCCATATAAATCAAAATAAGCAAATACTACATCTTTTACTGCATCTAGGACAAAAGTTCTCCCAAATTCTGTCCCCTTTCTCTGTAAGAATCCCACTGACATTAATCTATTCTGGTCCTGAATGGACATGTATAGAATTCAGTGTGTGTGTGTGTGTGTCTGCGCATGTGTGTGTGTGTGTGTGTGTGTGTGTGTGTGTGTTTATTTGTAGGGCAAGAGACTATAAACGCAGCACAATCCAGGACGGATTATTCCTAAAATCTGTTTCTTTGTTGTGCTATTATTTTCCAAAACAGCCTGGTTTTGTTTTTGTTTTTCTAAAGAGCATTTATATTCATTATTCCATGTTTTATACTCATAGCTTCCTAAAGTCAGTCTCAGACAGAACTGAGAAAGAAAAAAAAATCTGATTAAAACTCTGCAGTCTGTAATTACTACTAACCATTTCAATAGTGGAATTATCTACTCTGTGGCTGGGGTCTCCTCTCTGTTGTATGGGTCTAGACTTTCTCAACTTTGCCAACTTTAAGATGTGTGAACTTCAACTCCCAGAATCCCTCAGCTGGCTGCTTAATTCAGGTATATATTAACATAGCTTCCAGAATAAAGGTCCAGTTTAAAGTCCATTGGCACTAGCAAAAACCTGTTAGTTCACAAAGCTTATATATTGCATAAAGCAAAGGGGCCAACTGCCTCTTTCAACCCTTTGTTTTTTATTCAATTGGAACAATTACAACTGGCGGTAAAAGAATTTGAGAGAAGCAACAGAGTACTCAACGTACTCTATGAAATACTCTCTTCCAATTTCACATCTGGGTTCAAAGTATTAAGCCTAAACTTAGGTAAGAGTTCACCATTACGACATTTACCGTACCTCACATAAACCATATTATTTCTTCACCTGTTGGCCACATCGCCAAAGGCAGTGAACTACTCTGAAGAACAAATCATCTAATCCCCAGTTTAATGTGTTTGTAAATCCACTCTGTGAATGCGATTCATTCCACGATGGAAGATTCTCACATTCCTTCCTGTTGGGTTTTAAAGTTATGAATGAATGATCCTACAGAATAACATATATTGCCAGTTGGATTTCCGCAAGCAATCTATGTACAAGCATGTATATCAAATAAGTTTTACACTGACTTATAAATTGTAACATGGGAATTGTAAGATCCTGATACCTTCAGTTTGGACAGGGAACAGGCAGACAGTAACTTCTTACGGCCCTTCATTTCACTTTTCGGACCAGCTACGATGTCCTCTTTGTGGCTATTTGCCTCAGTCTTGCTGACCGTCTGGAAGAAGGGAGAGAGAAACAAACATGGATCTCATGATCAAACAAACTTTCAAAACTAGAGAGAGAGGTGCAGATATTTGGGGGAGCTAAGCTGAGGATACCACTAGAAGCAAATGGAAGTGTTAAGATACAGATATTAATTTTCCATTTTTGTATATGAAATTTCTACTGAAACTGTTGACTTTAGGTATCAAAAAAGAGAGAGAACTAGATCTTAGGCCCATTTGAAAAGTCTGAAATATGGAGAAACTGTTGATTTAAACCCCATTATAAATACAAACAGGGATAATAATTTTATTTATTGAATTTTAGGTCCTGACCCAAGGTCTACATCAGTGGTTCTCAACCTTTTTAATGCCGCGACCCCAACCGGTTGTAAGTCAAGGACTAAACCGGTCGTAAGTGGAGGACTAAACCGGTCGTAAGTCGATGACTACCCAACCGGTCATAAGTCAAGGACTTTCCCTGCCCGGGAGCACCGCACATACGTGGTTCCGCCCCCTGCGCCGGCAGAGGCGTAGCTGGCAAGCGGCAGAGACAGAGCAGGCCAACCACCAGCTGGCCCAGCCCAAGGGAGGTAAGGTACCCACCGGAAAAGGGGGAAAAATGGCAGACAAAAAAATGGCGGACAAAAAAAATGGCGGACAGCCTTGCTTGGCGACCCCCATGAAATGGTCGATCGACCCCAAATGAGGTCCCGACCCACAGGTTGAGAACCACTGCTCTACATGGTCCTTGGAAACCAAACTTTAACGTTAGATACAATCTGTAACAGATCTGCAACATTTCTTCCTGCTCCAATATAGTGCAGTGTAGCTTTATTGATTAGGCAATTGGTCATATCAAAAAAACAATAGGTATCAGCAGCAAAAAATACAATAAAATAACATAAGGTGAAGTAAGATGAGATAAAATAGAGGAAGATCACATGGAATGAAAGATAAAAGAGTGAGATAAAATAACATAAAATAAAACAGAATGCAGAAGCATCAGATGAGGACTGAAATACAAAACAGCGCATGTTTAATTTAATGCATCCTCTTTACATTGCTGCACCAATGTGTTCATCTGAAAAGCTCTGACTAGAAACTTAGCAGTTCTAAAGATTACATATGTGATTATGCCCTAAACCAGGGGTAGTCAACCTTGGCTCTTTTATGACTCGGGGACTTCAACTCCCAGAATTCCTGAGCCAGCTGTGCTGGCTCAGGAATTCTGGGAGTTAAAGTCCCCGAGTCATAAAAGAGCCAAGATTGACTACCCCTGCCCTAAACCATAAGTGCCTAAGTGCAGGAAAAGATGTAACAGGTGGAAACTAATCAAGGAGAGAAGCAATCTGTGACTAGGGAGAAATTTCCTGACAATGACTGCAATTAACCAGCGGAACAGCTTGCCCCCAGAAATTGTGGGTGCTCCATCATTGGAAGTTTTCAAGAAGAGATTGGACAGTCATTTGTCTGGAATGGTATGGGGTCTCCTGCTTGTGCAGGTGGTTGGACTAGAAGACCTCCAAGGTCCCTTCCAACCCTATTACTCTGTTGTGGGAAGTCAGCCCCCCAGAGAAGGAAATATTAAAAGGGCAGAAAAACATATTTCCTCAAAGGATCTTAAAGAGGCAGAAAAGCATGCCCAGTTTTCTTAATGGCCCCAGGTCTCCCTCCCCCAAGCAGAAACCGGCTCTGTACAAATGCAAATGTAAACCATTCAGGACAGGTGAAGCTAGAAGATTAAGAAGACAAAGACACCTAAAATCTACATACCCCACCCAAACTCTAAGACAGGACATAATAGGATTAAACCACAGATACCAAAGGGCACACTCAGACTCAGGTCAAAGTTCATGCCTCAAACAGGAACAGGAAAACAACTCCAAACAAAAGGCTCCAGAGGGTATAAAAACCCACTCCCTACATGTGCTCCTTCTCTTTTTCTGCCAGAGCCATCTTTCTGTCTGGCTCTCCTCTTTAATAAACTGCAACCTTCTTTCTAAAGCAGTCGCCATGTTTATTCCCAGCTTGGACTGAACCACGATGAAGACTTTTCTTTCAACACTATGATCTATAATCTGATGATGATGGTGATGTTATCCATTCAGTCGCGTCTAACTCTTGGTGAGTCTATGGGCCAGGTATATTCCAATTTTGCACCACTTCTTTGAGTGATCTATATTGTAAAGGAAATTAGATACTCCTGTGTGATATAGAGAGTCTACAAGTCATTTTCAGCTCTTCTGATTTCTCCATCCATCCACTGTGCTGTATTCCATACAGGAAGAGGTAAATAGTGATCACTACCTCTCTGGATGGTGAAAGGTCCTCAGAGATAGGCACAAAGGAATTACTCTCAGTTTCTTTTGTACAAAAAACAACAACCCTTAATTGCTGAGGCACAAGGCTATGACCAAGAGATCAGGAATCATGGAAGTTCTACATGATACCTGATCCAGCCTTGCTTCCAGTCCAATCTTGTGGAAGGGAAGCATTTTCTAATCTCGCTATAGTGGAAAGGAACACAAGTAATATGGAGTCAGGAAGTTACTCTTTTTGAGGATTAGCACATCCTTCAATCATTCTTCTCCAAGTTCTTAAGTAGTCCTCGACTCACCATCACAACTAGGCCCACAATTCCTGTTGCTAAGTGAGACAGTTCTTAAGTGAGTTGTGCCCCATTTTACAACCTTTCTCGCCACAGTTGTTATGTGAACCTGGCTTCCCCATTAACTTTGCTTGTCAGAAGGTTGCAAAAGATGATCACATGACCCAAGGACACTGCAACCATCATAAATATGAGTCAGTTGCCAAGAGTCTGAATTTTGAACACATGACTATGGGGATGCTGAAACAGTCGTAAGTGTGAAAAGCAGTCATAAGTCACTTTTTTCAGTGCCATTGTAACTTTGAAGGTCACTAAACAAACTGTAATAAGTGAAGGACTAACTGTCAAGGCCATGGTTTTCCCAGTTGCAAAGTATGGCTGTGAAAGTTGGACCATAAGAAAGGCTGAGCGCCGAAGAATTGAAAATTTTGAACTATGGTGCTGGAGAAGACTCCTGCGAGTCCCCTGGACTACAAGGCAATCAAACTGGTCAGTCCTGGAGGAGATCAACCCTGACTGCTCTTTAGAAGGCCAGATCCTGAAGTTGAAACTCAAGGACTTTGGCCACCTAATGAGAAGGAAGGACTCACTGGAGAAGAGCCTAATGCTGGGAAAGATTGAGGGCAATAGAAGAAGGGGACGACAGAGAATGAGGTGGCTGAATGGAGTCACTGAAGCACTAGGCTAAAGATTAAATGGACTCCAGAAGATGGTAGAGGACAGGAAGGCCTGGAGGAACATTGTCCATGGGGTCGCAATGGGTCAGACACAACTTCGCAACTAACAACAACAACTGTATCTATAGAAAGAATGACTCAGCGGGTGGCGATAAATTGGAATATTGGAAACTAAGTCAGGTTAGGCCTGGTTAATATGTGGATGGGAAAATATGTGGAAATCCCATGTCTGTCGGCCTAGATTGTAAAATGAAAAATACAGCCTAGAAGAAAACTCTCCAGTTGTTGGGGATCGGAGTGATCCCAAATAGCTTAACTTATGTCTGCAGTTGGGGCCAAGATTCACAGTGCTAAGCAAAGTGATTACAAAGTGGGTTGTGCACAATTCTGCAACCTTTTTGTTTTGCCACAATTGTTAACGGAATCACTGCGTCGCGTGATGTATCAGAGCTTTTTCTACATTGCCGGCAATGGGGTGGGCGCAGTTTCCTGGTGACGTGTCCGGCCCGCGGGCCAGCAGTTTGACACCCCTGTTGTAGATCCTCCTTGTATGAACGTAATTCAAATACTTAATACCCTTAGGCAAGATCAGAGGAGAAGGGCGGGATATAAATCCAAATAATAAATAAATAATAAATAAATAAATAAATCAAGCAAAGAAAGAAGTGGGATTGAATGAGTACATTTATTGGCAAAAGACTAGGTAAATGTTCCCATCTGGAGTAGCAACGTCTTATTTCTTTCTACTATACAAGTAGTAACCACTTACTCCTACGGAGAAAACCTCAAAGGCTGCACCTGGATCATAACACTGGAAAAATGAATCTATTCCCCCATCTCTGTTTGTCAATGAAATTTTCCAGCAGTGTACGCTCTGTCTCCCACTCTTTCACTGCTTGAACTTGGGTTCAAGTCCACCAGCCCACAGAATTTCCTTTAGATTTATTTTCTCAGCCCAGCCTACCTCCCAGGACAGCTGTTGTGGGGAAAAATAGGAAGAGAGATTGCTACAAACACTTCTTGAATGAAAGAAAGGATAGACGAGCCAATGCACAAATCCATGCGTCAAACCAGCAAATCAAGCTATGTATTTATTTAGGATTTATCTACCCTGTCCCTAGCGCCAGGCTCAGGGCAGTGTAAAAACAAGCAAAAATCAAGCAGTTAATTCCCACCACCACTGAATAAAAGCAATCCTTGCAAAAAAATCATACAGGGGAACTTTTATAGAATTCTTCTCAAATTGGATGTCATCTAATTTACCAGAGCTGCAACTGAAGCCATGCCCATTTGTATATAAATCTTCCTTGTCCATTAAGCAATCTGAAAACCACATCATAGCACATTTATTAAACAGTAGCAGGTTCCTCCCCTCCCAATTTCTGCTTGTGAAATTGTGGCAGCCTACTGTAGTATTGTTTTAAATACTTGACCCATGAAAAAAACGAATATGCTGTAATCTGGGATTTGACAGCATGTATTTCCCTGCCTGCAAGTTACCCTAAGACCAAGGGTATTAATGTTTTAATTCTTCTTCTTCTTTTTTTAATTAAACAAATTTCAGTTTCTGACTTTATGATTGATGAAACTGCATTTCTCTTCCTCCTTCAACATGCCTGAGTAAGTATTCATTTTTAATATTTTTACCAGATGGATTTACTCCCCTCAAAATAATAAGAAGGCCTTCTTCCCGCTTTCCTCCCTTGAATACGACAGACCTACCTCTATCGTAGCCATACCCTGGGGATTCTGTTCGAGGCAAATCAGAGGCTCTGTTTCCCAAATTTCATACACTTTGGAATTTCTTCTGGAAAAAAAGCAGGACTGGAGTATTGAACAAAAGCTTTTCAGCAGAAAGGAAAACGAGAGCAAAGAGAACAGCCTTGGAAAGTACATTTTTGTTTGTAGAAGTCTACAACCTTTGTTTTGCTCTACAGTAGGTCTTTGAGTTGAGCCAAAAGAATAACCCGGATAACAAATGGATCTAAGACACAGACATACTGCACAACTGTGTTGGAATTTCCTTTTGGCACATTCGCACAACAGACTGGGCTTAGTCAATTAGCTGGAATATCACCCACCTTGGTGTTGTCATTTGTCTTGATGTCAGTTTCCATTTCGGACCAAAATTAGATTATGTGTAGATTATACAGTATGTAATATTTATGCTTCCTTCTCCTTCACCTTCTCCTCCTCCTCTGTCTTCTCTTTCTCCTCCTCTTTTCCCTCTCCTCCTTCTCCTCCTCTCCTCCTTCTTCTCTTTCTTCTTCTCCTCCTCCTCCTCTGTTAAGGACTGAATCTCTAATCCCCAAACAATTTTAATCCACCAGGTCTTTTATTACCTTCATGTCTGGCAAGAATATTTGCCATTAACCCCTGAAAAGATACTCTCCTGTTCACTAAGAGCAAAAAAAAAAGGACTCTGAAAAATATGAGTTGCTCATAGGGGATTTTGAGATACAGATCTCAGTTGTATGCGGTCTCTTAGGATGCATCCCTAACTACATTAAAAGTAAAAGTTCTCCATTAAGATGAACTCAGTTCCTGTTGATTTCATGTATGCATCCAGGTAGTTTTCTTGGCAATAATATGGAAATGGCTCGCCAGTTTTCTGCCTTCGGAGATGCTTCCCAATCTAGCCTGTAACCTGGAATTCCACAGGTGGTTTCATATCCAAGCTCAAAGCTACTAAGCTTCCAAGATCAGCTCTGATCAGCTAGGTGCTATGGATGTAAGATTACAATCTTTATTTGCATATTTAGCAGATATCTACGGTACGTACCTTTTAATCTAATTATTCATTTAGAATAAAATGTGAGCAACTTAAAAATACAATAGATCTTTGAAAAGTAGGGCATGACCAGGTCTTTAGAATTGGCTGTTTGGTGACTTTGTTCTTTGTTAGAGTTATTTGTTGCTAGAACTGGTTGTACTTTTTTATTTTTAATCTACCAGATAAAGAAATAGCAGTTGATTCATTAGAGGTCAAAACAATTCCCAATATCAGCTCTCATCTTCCTTTTGGAGTTTAATAGTGCTTCCCCTTGATTCAAAGACATAAGAAACACCAAAGAGCAATATTTTGGAATCTTTTTTGGGGGGGGGAAAGTCCCACCTTAGCCACGAAAGCTGGCTGGGCAATCTTGGGCCAATCATCAGGAGACTGTGAATTCTAGTCCCGCCTTTGGCATGAAAACTGATTGGGTGACTTTGGGTCAATCACCAGGAGACTGTGAGTTCCAATCCCGCCTTAGGCATGAAAGCCAATTGAATTACCTTGAGCCAATCACCAAGAGACTGTAAGGTCTAGCTCTGCTTTCGGCATGAAAGTCGGCTGGGTGACTTTGGGCCAGTCTCTCTTTCTCAGCCCAGCCCACCTTACACGGTTGTTGTTCTGGGAAAAATAGGAGGAGGAAGCTGTGTTGGATATGTTCACTGGCTTGAGCTCTTTGTAATAAGAATAAAGGCAGGAAATAAATAGATAAAAAGATGATAAATAGATAAATATCTATTCCCCACTGATAGTACAAGGATAGTAAAATCCTAGAAACATGAAAGGGTATTTCCAAAGATCAAATGCTCAAGATCCAGGGGGAAAGGAAATCCACACAGAATATTTGACATCATTCTGGCAAGAATCGGAACCAACAACCTCTGTTTTTATTGAAGAGGGCGTGATCAGCCTTTCTCTGCAAATACTGGTGCTATTCGTTTTCTTCCATGAAAGACAAACCTCTTCAGTAGATTACCACGGCACCTTTAAGATTACAGCTCCCACAGCATCCAGCCAAAATGCGCAAGAGGCACTGAAATAGTTATGTATTACATTTCCTTTCATTTGCATGGTCCAGGGACTAGAATATCTGAAAAATACGGCTTGAAGCTTAACACCTCAAAAACCAAGATCATGGTTGTCAGCAAACAACGTGTTAATTTACCACCAATAAATTCAGAGGGAATACCACTAGAAAAAGTTGAAAGGATCACACACCTTGGTTCTAATTTACACGAAAGCTGGGACATGACCGTTGAAGTAAAGACAAGGATAGAAAAAGCCCGAACAGCATTCTTCAAAATGAAAAAGGTCTTCTGCAGTCACGACATAAGCCTAAGACTGAAAATCAGGCTTGTCAGATGCTATATTTTTCTATCCTGCTCTATGGAGTAGAGCAGGGGTAGTCAACCTTGGCTCTTTTATGACTCGTGGACTTCAAGTCCCAGAATTCCTGAGCCAGCCATGCTGAGGGGAAAGGGAGAGGTTTCCAAGCTGAGCCATGCTGGCTCAGGAATTCTGGGACTTGAAGTCCACGAGTCATAAAAGAGCCAAGGTTGCCTACCCCTGGAGTAGAGAGTTGGTCTCTGACAGAAGGCCACCTGAAGACACTAGAAGCATTTGAAATGTGGATTTACAGGTGGCTGTTACGTATAAGCTGGGTTGACAAGATCAGAAATGAGGAGGGGATAAGCCACCTGGGAAAGCCAAGGGAAATCATCAAAACAATTAAAAAACAAAAATTAGAATATTTCGGACATGTGATGCGACACCCAGAAAAATACGGCATACTCCATTTAATCCTCCAGGGAAAGATTGAAGGCAAACGAGGTCCAGGCAGAAGAAGAACGTCATGGCTTCAAAATCTAAGGGACCAGTTTGGACAAAACTCAGCAGCCCTTTTTCGTGCGGCTGCTGATAAAAACAGGATCGCCAACATGATCGCCAACGTCCAATAACGGATATGGCACAAGAAGAAGAAGAAGAAGGGACTAGAAGGCGCTCAACTAGCTTGCAAGCAGCTCCAGACCTATCCAATCAATGGTTGGGGGGGGGGATGAAGTTACTTTATTTCTGTTTAAATGCTGTTGTATCTTATGCACTTCAAGGCAGCTTTTACTTTCTCTTGAATCCTTGTTCCACAGAATTTCCATATCCAAATCTTGATGTCTGTCTATCGGTTGGGTTTCTAATGTATCCTTCACTTCCTGGCACCACATTAGTAACAGTAACTATTAGGAAAGCACCTAGTTGCAAAAATGTAGGCATATTAACATTTTGTTCTCGCAATAGGCTTTAAAAGAGGAATGGCAAATCAGCAGCCCAGAAGCCTCCCCTCATAGCAATCTTTCAAGCTCCTCCTTCCCAATTATTAGGTAAATGTTCTCATATACCAAAAATATAGGCTGGAGGGGGCAGAGCTAGCAACTATTATGGCTTGCCCTTCATGGGGAGTGAAGATATTTTTGTTGCTTCAGGATTTAGAGTTGCTCAGCTGCCTGGATGGCCTTTTTGCATCTTCCTGTGGCCAGCTAGAGAGCAAACAAGAACTGGTCCATGCCATTCTCCATGGATCCTTGGCGTCTTCAAGGTGTGTTGAAGTGAGCAGAGTCACAGGTCATCTCCAAATTGCCTTGCATAGGCTTGGGAGGTAGAAATGATGCTCTGTGGAAATGCCCACGTTGCCTACTGTTGTCCTTGATGTTTGTCCTTTTGTGTTTCAAGCCAACAACTAACAGAATAAAAGATGATACGCGTTGTGTCCTGAGCCTGCTGGAGTGGTGCGTAGGCTCAGAAATGTTGCAAACGGTCCCGGGCAAACCAAAAGCTGCCCGGGACCAGACTGGTCGGCGCCAGCCTTGTGCACATGCGCAAGGCGTGAAAACGGCCAGTTCTTATTGATTAACACTGTCTGGGTTTAGGGCCCTATAAAAGGCCTGCGTGCCTTTTGCTGCTTGCTTGGTTGTAGGAGAAGAGTAATAAAGAGCTTGTTTCTTCGCCATGTGTCTTCGTCAATTGCCAACGAACGGAAAACACAACAGTACAGATATGCAGAGACCCAGGTAGCACTGAGCTGAATTTGAAATCCAGATTGTTTGGAATGGAAGGCTATTTCCCGTCCATAGGTTTTCTGGGAATACCATCATTCAATGTCTGCATTTCATTGGGAATCCATTTATCCACAGTTTAGATTTGCAGCCCTCTAGCCAAGAAATACTCTAGACCTGTGATGCCCATTATAAATAACCCTGTAATCCATTAGGGCGTTTTGCATCAACTCCAGCTCTGCTCTTTCCTCTTTCTCTACTTCTCTAACCCACCCACATCCATTCTTAAGAGAAAGGAAGGACTTCTCCAGGGGTACCTCGGAGGGGGCTGGTGGCAAAGAGTCGGGCTGACTAAAGCAGCATTGCCCTTTTGCTACATGTATAATGACGTCACACACATGACTCAAAGGGGTGGGGCTTGTTGTTGTTTTTTAACTGAGCACTTTAAAGAAGCTGCAGGTAGCCTTTGAGTTACAGCCATTCATTTAGCAACCATTCAAAGTTCCTGAAAAGGCCCTGAAAAAAGAGTGACTCATGACAGGTCTTCACGCTTCACACAACCACTGCAGAAACTCCATGGTCACATGATCAAAATTTGGGCACTTGGCAACCAACATGTATTTACAATGATTTTGGCAACCTGGGCCGTGGGATCCCCTTTTGTGGACTTCCCCCCACTGGCATCCAACAAGCAGAGTCCAAGTCAAAGGGGCAAGTCACCTAACGACCGTGTGATTCATTTAACAACTGCAGTGATTTGCCTAACAGCTGTGGCAAAAACTCATAACATGGTCATAAAAGGACTCACTTAACAACTGCCTCATTTAGCAGCTAGTCCCAATTGTGGTCATAACTGAAGGACTACCCGTACATTAACCACTGAGAGCACCCCACAGGCAACAAAATTGGCCTCATCCAGCAGAGCCAGGTGAAACAGTTTGCCTCCTTGCAAGGGGAGTCTTGAGGCAGGAGGGTCCAAGAATTCAAGATGTCGGCCACAGTCATACAATCAAAGCCCCACGCCCTTTTTACATCTGCCATTCCCATCTTCCTAAAATGCTCTGCCTCACCCTTGCCTCATTTGGCAATTCCACTAGTTGGAAAAGACCTCTGCACGTCATTCGTTTATTTAGTCCTATGTAGGCACTGCCTGATTTCAAATCATCTCTGGTTGACTCATATGCACCTGAGCTTTCTCTGGCTTTATGGGTAATCCTTGTTTAGCAATCACAACTGGGACCAGAAATTGGCTGTTAAGTGAAACAGTCACTATCTGAACCCACATCTGTGCTTATGA